TATAGTACCAGCGAATAATGTCGGTTCTTGGCTCACTAGTGCGAAGTATTTCCTTAGAGTTCTTAAATGGTACGACTTTATATCTCTTCCATCGATTTTGACAACGCCTTTCATCGGGTCGTAAAAACGCTCGATTAACCCAATTATGGTTGATTTCCCGGACCCACTTTGTCCAACCAACGCAGTCGATTTCCCAGCTTCGATTTTGATCGAGAACCCGTTAAAGATCATGATGTCAGGCCGAGCAGGGTAAGCGAAGTAAACATTGCGTAACTCCACATTGCCGGTAATGATTTCCGGCTTCTTACCATCGGAATCATCGGGTTCTATCAAGGTGTTACGGTCTAATATCGTGAACACCGAACGCACTGCGTCGGACCCTTTCGCTAGATCGTTTGTCATGGTTCCAGCATCCGCGATGACTCTGCCGGTGCTTACCAAGATCATATACGTCTGAAAGAGTGCTTTTGACGTAAGATGACCGTCGCTAATCAGTTTCCCACCGAACCAAAAGTTTAGAGCCAAATTACAAGTCATTATGCTTTGAGAGAACCCGAGCCCGATTCCAGCATACCAGGCTTGTCGGACGCCTTCACGCATTGGCGCTTTTAGCGTCTCGTGGAACATTTTGAGGATTCGTGCTTGAGATGAAAAGGAGGTGATGGTTCGCAGATTTGAAACGGCTTCGGCTGCGAGCTTGCTGCTTTCGTCTAGTGATTTCATGGCTTTTTGCGACATGTTCTGTAACAAAACTCGTCTGCAATAGAAGCCGATGATTATAAGCGGCTGAACGGCGATAATAACCAACGCCAATCTCCACGCGATTACGAGCCCCATTGTCCAAGCAATCGTCACTGCGGAAAACGTTTGAATTAGAAGCCCGGTTCTATCGCCCACCAACGATCTCACCTGCAAAATCATTGTTGACATGTCGTTGATTGATCAACGTCAATTGCCTAATAGACCACTTTATAGGACTTAATTTATATGATCAAATAATAAAAACATCATATCTAAAGATGTTGCAATAAATTTATGACACTTTTTGGGATTTTAACAAGTTTTTTAAGACATTTTTAATACAAAATGTTATATTAGCTATTTTATATGGCACACACTTACGAGAAATGTTCATATTTTTTGGCATCATATCATACAACAAAATTGATTTTATAGGACGCCTAAAATGTAGAAGCCTCCTAAAAAAATACTTTATGGGACTTAAGAAACCAAAAAACGTTCTACCTAAAAGTATTACAATAGGTTTATAAGACGTTTTTAAGCATTTTAACAGGCTTTTTATAATAAAAAAAATCCTATTAACTATTTTATTAAACAATATTTCAAAAAATGTCACAAAAACATAAATATCCTATAAAAAGATGGATTTATAGTACTCGTCTCAAAAATATTATATAAAATAACTAATAAGAAATTTTATTTTAAAACCGTTGTAAAAAACTTGTTAAAACGCCTAAAAGGGTCCTATAAACTTATTGTAAAGCTTTTAGACAGTACGCTTTATAGTTTGTGACTTTGTTCCTATAACCTCAAGTTTTACAAAGTATTCTATTAGAATGCTTAAACAATCTAGACATCCTATAAAGCCAATTTTGTTATCGTGTCTGTTCAAGAATGAATGATTTTCGACTAAACGTAAAACTCCTTACCACACTGGCATCTTTCGCGAGCCTGGAACAGATGGCTCCGCTCGAATTTTCATCCTGATCGAACCACCCGACTTCGAAGGTGAGTATCTTTGACAACATCCTTTCTCGAACCCTCTTCATTAGGTGCTCGCCCATCGCTGCAAAATAGTAATGCTGAATGATGTTGATTAGCACCGAAAAAACTCCCAAACCTGCGAAACACAACCCGTAAACCATCGTTTTGTGCTTGATCTCATCATGATCCATCAAGAAATACACCGATACCATCGACCCCATTGAGAATGCATAAACCGGCTGAACTGCACCAAATAGAACAGCTCCTACACTCCCAAACAACGCTTCCTTCCATTCAGGAGCGTTCATCGCTAAAAGCC